ATATAAATGATGAGCAAATAAGAAGAAGTGAAAAAGAAAAAACATCGCCTGATTATTTTATTAATAAACTAGTCTATGCTATCTGACCAGATTGTTCTTGTTTTTCTTCAGTTTTTGTTTCTTCTAATAATTCTTTGATAAGAGTTTTTTCTGGACTTTCCTCCTTAGTTCCGTTTTCCATTATTTTTTGTTTTTGTTTCTTTGGTAAAAATTTTTGACAACAAGTAAATCTTTTCATAATTGATCTTGTTAATACTAATACAAGAAATGGTATTGGAGTTGCCATTGAAACAAGAATAGGATTAGCTAATGCAACATCCGAATCTGGTTGAGGAAATGTTAAACGAAGAAAAAATATTGCTACAGCTGTATTTTGTATGCCTGTTTCAATACAAATAGCAATGGTTTTCTTTCTATCACGTACACCAATAAGTGATATAATTGCGCCACCAATAAAACCAAACCATGGCAAAAAACAACAAGCCATTATTGCTTTGAAATCAATTATATAAAAAATATACATATTAATGTAAACTATAAAAAACATAAAAATTAGATTATTAGGTCAATTTTTTAAGATTTTATGTTACCTCCAAATGTAAGAATAAAGACAAGATAACCTGATGTATAGGAAAGAGAAACTAATATTTAGTAAAAAATGATATTTATTTTTTCTTACCAACTGCAATCGGATTGAGAAATCGACCGATACGATGAGCAACTACTGGTCGATATCGACGAAGTAAAAATCCAGTTGATACCGGTAGAAATAATGTTATTAATGATAGAAACATACTCCACCATGGAAATTTTGCTTGCGAAAAATCAACATAATGTTTTCCAAGAAGTCCCATCCATAAAGGAAATGTACCAAATGCTAAAGCTGTAGATATAAACGTCATAGTTACAGAAAGATCAATATCACCGGCAAGTAATGCTGTATAGATGTTTGATGAACCACCACCTAAACAAATGATGAATTAAGTATTTTCTACTACCATAAATATGAAGGAAAAATTCAATACTTGATAGAAAATCAAGGGAGAAATAGCAGACTTTTGCACTTCAAGTAAATTTGAGCTACTTTATGTTACTTTGCACTACTTTCTGCTACTTTACGCTACTTCTAAGCTACTTTAACCTGCTTTGTTCTACTTTTAGCTACTTTGGAGTACTTTGAGGTACTTTGAGCTACTTGGAGTTAGTTTGAAGCGCTATGTGCTGCTATTACACATTTTGAGCTGTTTTTGTACCTTGCACTACTTTGTACTTGAAATTAATTCTACATACTTTGAACTATTTTTGTGCTTTGAGCTATTTCGACCTATTTGTGCTACTTCCTACTACTTTTACATACTTCAGACTACTTTTGTACTTTACCGTACTTTATGCCTTACAGTCTGCTATTTCCCCCTTGTAGAAAATACTGAATACTGTCTTAATCGGTTGAATAGTTCTACGTTTATGGAATTTAGTATCTGATTTTATGTATTGTCTCAGTTATCTTTCGAAAATATATAATCAAGAGAGAGAGTATTTACCAGGTGAACATGCGGTTGAAAATAAACCTAAAGTTGTTGAGTTATCTAATCGAACAGTTTTCGATATAGCAATTGATAATAATGGCACATAAACAATTTGACACGTAAGACCAATAATTAATGGTAAAGGTCGTTTAAAATTAGTAAGTAATTGTTCCATTTCTAATCCACAACCAATACATAATGTTCCCGCTGTAACAAGAACGATGACAACAGCAGTAAATAAAGCATCGATTACTGATTGATGTCGTTTTACTGCTATATTTATTGTATGACTTAAAATATAATGATCATCTTCATATTTAAGTTTTGGACATTTTTGAAGAATTTCCATTCGATCAGATGATGAACGTGCACAAGTAATTTCTTCGATAGTTGCATTTCTTTTTGAACGTTCAGTTGATCTAAGTAATCTCTTTAGGTATAGATATATATTCTCATAAAAGGGAAATAGGTTTTACCTGTATTCATTTGTATCTTGAAAATATAATTGAACAGTTAATGGTGCAAAACCAATTAAACGAGCAAGTCCACTTATATTTATACGATTTGGTTCAATTAGATAAGTTACATTCAAGATACTTAAACGTTTAAGTAATGGATTTGTTATTGAAACATTTCGTACAACAATTGATGATGGACAAAAGTGTAATTCACCTGTAATATTAAATATATCTCGTTCATGAACACGACGAATGGTATCTAATTTATCGAGATCATTAAATTTAATATCACACGCTTGATTAATATAAAAATGTACGAAGAAAAAAAAAGAGAAAAAGATCAATGACTTCATTTATTTTAAATCATCTGAAAAAGAATGATATATGAAGCTATTATTTAATTTTAATGATTAACAACAGAAGAAGAAGAAGAAGAGAGAAAAAAAAGAAGAATTTCAATTTTATTGTTCATTATCACTAGTTGGTAATGGTTCATAATCTGCTCTATCACGTTCTTCGTCATTGATACTTGTCACTAAATTATGTCGTTTTTTATAATATCGATGAATAGACATAAAACCATAGATAATCAGAAGAGGTAATGGTATAGCAATAGCAACCTAATAGATAATTAAAATTTAATAACTAAATTTGAAAAAAAAATCAAAATACATACAAAAATTGGTACAACAATAGCTAAATCACTATCAGGTTGAGGAAGTGATAATCGAAGAAAGAAAATAGCCACACCAGTATTTTGTAAACCTTAAGAAAATTATGAAACATATAGTTTTTATTGATATTTGCCACAGACTTGAATTAGAAAACCACGCAATGCAAAACAAGAGAAATAAAAACACTCGTACTCTTTGTACACAAAAAAGTGGTACATACAGTGGTTTGCAAAAAGACTTAGAACAAACTGATCTTGAGGGTGGGTGTGGGTATTTTATTTCATCCACATCCACACTCACACCCTCAAAATCTACCGATATACAAAAGTATCATTGCGTGCAATCAGCTATTAATTCAAAAACTTTAGAACTTAAAGTTTTCTAGGATATCTGGCAGCCAAGAGTAGCAAACGTATGATTAATATCAAATGCAGTCGAAAAATAGCAAAATTGATTAGACGAAATAAAGAGGTGGTAGTGAAGGAATCTATTGAAACATGATGTAAACAATGCGAATTCACTATTTCCACTAGTACAGTCTCATAGTATTTGCATTGAACTGAATATAAATATTGAAAAAGTTATAATCATTTTGATTAATAACATGAAGAGTAGATGTTTCTTAGTTACTGAATCAAAATATTGAATTAGATATTCTAAGACTGTAAACTGATATGTACTGAATAGGGGATTTTGTTTTGAAGACAACTGAACTAGCGTTTACTCAAGGCTAAATATTTGTTCCAAGTCTTTTTGCAAACTACTGTATAAGAACCATCGCCCATAAAAAGGTTTTTGGTTTCACGATATATGATCACAATTAAATTCTGATAAAACAAGAAATTTACATACCACTCTCAATAAATATAGCAATTAATCGTTCTCGACTTTGTCTTGTTATAGTTGACATAAGAAATCCAATAAGAAAACCTGTATAAGGTAAAATAACACTGACAATGAGTGTTCGATAATTAATCAATTTGAATATATAAAGATTGGTATAAATTCCAAATGTTAAGATATATACAATAAAGAATAAAGTAAGAAATCGAAGATATCGTGTAAAACGATCAGCAATTCTTGGTTTTTGCGCACGAAGTACTAAACCAATACCTGAAAATGAGAAATTCTTCTCCTATTGTTCTTTTTTTTCTCGAATTATTTTACCTGCTGGTACTATCAAACAAATCAATGTAGCAAACATATTTTCCCATCTAAAATATCAATATAAATCACCATCATCAAAATTAAAATAATACATACGGGAAATGTACATTATGTGTATCAATAAATTCCCGGCCCAATAAAAGAATCCATAATGGGAATGTACCTACACAAAAAAATAAATAAATCATTCTTAAAACATAAAAAGAAAAACAACTAACCAAATGCAAGAATTGTACTACTAAATGTCATTGAAGCCGATAAATCAACATCACCACCATACATAGCTGTGTACATATTTGATGCACCACCACCCGGTGCTGAACCTGTTGATATTAAACCAATAGCAGTTGATGAATCAAGTTTAGCAAGTTTAGCTAAACCAAATGCTAACTAAAATAATAAAATATTTAAAAAAAAATCTAATTATTTTTCTTACTAAAGGTAAACATAAGAATTGACTAGAAAGACCGATAAGTATAGGAACAGGTCTTCGTATATTCGCATAAAGATTTTGTGTATCAAGTCGACATCCAATTAAAAATGTTCCAATACAAACAAGTATAATAACAATAACCGTAAATATTATATCAAGTATTGTACCTTTTCTTTTAACAGCGAAATCGACGTCAAGATTATTTGTATAATTAAATTTATAATTTGTTTGATTGAAGTATTCAGCATGTAAAGATAATCGACTATATCCAAGTAATTTTCCATGAATAGTTAAATTAAATGTTAAATTTTGTACATCATTATTAAATGGAAGAAGTTTTAATGGTAAAGTATTTTTTATTTCAATTGAATTTTGATTGTCATATGAAATTGATACATTCGCATACGTCAAATTATCTGTCGTATTACAATTTATGGAAAATATTATTAACGCATCATTGATTGTATCATTGATATAAAAAACTGGTGGTTTTGGTAATGTATGAGTTTGATTAAGACAAATTAAAGTACATGGTAAATATGAAGAAGTCGTAACAGAAAATATTTGATATAAGAAAATGGTTAAGAATGTCAATTTAATTAACATGATAAATCTGGATTAATAAATAAATAATAGTTCAGAGTTCAATGGTTGCTATTAGTCATCTATAAAAAAAAAAGAAAGGGATATCCACATCTATCCATAGTCTCTAAAATTTTGAAGATGATTCCAATCATATGGATGGAAGTAAAGATGGCGTCAGTTATCAAGAGAATCTATTTTATGGTATATAAAATACATCAATAGCAAGAAATATGTAGTTACCTGTCTTTCATAGATGAATAAATTGTTTCAAATAATTAAATTATTATTGGAGAATATATATTTGAATCAGGAATGAGTACGCACTTTTTCGAGTATGAGTATCGGCCAATCCGTACTCAAGTACGATAACGGATACCAACAAATTCGTACTCGAGTACGAATACCGATAACTCCGTACTTCGAGTAATTTGTCCGTCTCTGATTTGAATTCTAAATCTATTTAATGGTATTTTCGCAGATAAACGTGAATATTAAATTACACGTTCAGAAATTGTAAATGCTTCACTTTATATGATCATCTTAACCCTTAAGAGCCGTATGTCGCTTCCAAGGGACATCGGAAAATTCGAATA